GACAAAGAGATATTTGATAAAGGGCTAGTATACACTAATAACTCTTCAACTCAATTTTTTTAAATAGTAACAGCCCAATAAGAAAATGGGTTAAAGACCTTAACAGACACCTCACCAATGAAGATATCCAAACATCATCCATTTTCATTTATCTGATGACATAAGATATTAAACAACTCTTCATACACTAATTTGATGTTTGGGATGTTTAGAACACTAAAAGTACCAAATGCTAGAGTATATAGAGCAAAGCCTAGACTTCTCCACTATGCAATTCAGTCATCTAACAAAACCAACGTGTACTCTCTAAATCCATTTTTGAATGAAAACTTGGAAGCCATCAGGATGTCCTTCTGTAGATTAATGGTTAAACAAACCGTGGTACATCCCAACAATAAACTATTATTTTGTGCTAAAATGGAATAAGCTATCAAGCCATCAAGCCCTGAAGAGGTGTGGAGGAACTTTAGATGTTTAATATTAAGAGAAGGAAACCCATCTGAAGAGGCTATACATTGTATAACTGTATCATATGACACTTTAAACCAGCAGTTCTCAACCTGTGGGTCATGACCACTTTATAACAATGAAAATACAGCCTGCATATCAGATATTTACATTACAATTCAAAATAGTAGCAAAATTACAGTTATGAAGTAGCAACAAAAATAATTTTATGGCTAGGGGTCACCACAACATGAGGAACTGTATTAAAGGGTCATGGCATTAGAAGGCATTAGGAAGGTTGAGAACCACTGCTTTAGACAAAGCAAAACTATGGAGACCAAAGAAAGATTAGTGGGGCTGAGTGTTGGAGAGAAGGGAAGGGTGATTAGGTGAGCACAGGGATTTCTATGTAGGGCAATAAAATTATTTTGAGTGATAAAATAATAGTGGGAGAATATCATTATAAGTTTTTCCAAACCTATAGACTGTACCGCTCTAAGAGTGGTTTTCAGAATGAATCTGAACTTTTTCTTTTGGTCACTTTGCTTAAAATTTGCCTTTATGTTGGGGACCAGCCCCAGACTACATCATGAGTTTGTTCCCAGTGACTGGTAAAGATGAGAAGATGAGGGAAAATGAAAATTTAAGACCCAAAGAGAAAGAGTTTTAAAGAGCTGGGTCTGGCAACTGCCCACCTCAAAGCATGAGGACCAGTGGCGCAACCCCTAGCTCCAGGCAAGCTCTGTTTTTATTACACATATTAAACAGGAGGAGGCTAAACCCTTATGTCATGGTTCTTGCTGGGCTTGCATTTTCTAATCAAACTATTTCTTTAACTAACTACCATAATTGTACTGATTTATTTCTTACTTTTATCACTTTAAGTTATTTGATCCTAACACAAAAGGAGCCTGGGACAGGAACACAGTCCAGGTGCAGGATGTCAAGGCTGGCCCCAATTAGACCACGCACACAAATCTCAGGATGAGCAATTAAGCCTTGCCATGCTGAGAAGTGCCCCTCCTCTCCCTTAGAGACATTTTCTCTACTACCAAGATCAAAGAGCTTGTGCTGTTTCCATTGCATTTCACCTTTAGTAAATCTTCCCAACCCCCTGCACGCCCTCCCTCTGAGAGAGCAGACTCACCTGCAGGAAACTGGCCTGACAGTGCTCAGAGACCTTGGACCTGAGTTGAGCTGGGGGAAGGGTGAAGCTCTGGCAAGACAGTCTGCTTGAAAACACCAGACTTCAGGCTGGTGCACTTTACAGCAGATCTTGGGTTTCTCTGATCCACTTCTCTCCTTTCTCTTTTCCCTTTTGCCCGTCACCTACAATCATTTTCTTAATTCAATTCTTAACCTACTTATAATAAACAATTGAATATTGATTTTAAGCTTATCAAATCATTATTTTTAACAATGCAAGCACATCAAGATATGATTCTTCCCTTAAGTACCCACGTGTCCATTGGCACCTTTCTATTCACTACACATTTCAGAGTTATTTAACTTTTACTTTGTCCCTTAATCATTTGATTTTGTATTTGTTGCAGTGTTGTCCCCAGTGTATTCCAAAGTTTGATTTTGCTAACAGTGCCATTGATTGCATAAGACTTTATATTGTTTTCCAATAATTGATTTATTTTAGAAAATATTTTTCTCAATGCCTTTCAATATATTTTCATTTCTTTGAAAATGTATTCAGGTTACAAATTTCAGTGATATGTTTCCTAACATAAATCTTCTTTCCATTCTTAGGATTCTGATGGCAGTTAACACTGACTGAGTTCCACATTTACATTAGGCACTATTCTACTAGACAGGAATTAGTTTAGTGTCTTTATCACCTGTGTTTTCTTAACTATGCAACAGAGGACAGAATTTGGTCCTAGGACACATTTTCTTGTCCACTACGCTGTAGTTGTCAACATTTTCTGATCGTTTAACAATCAGTTGCCATATTCACTCTGTAATTTACATTGAAATTTTGGGTAATAATTCTTATATCACTTCAGTTATACTTGAATATAATGTATGGAGGACAGGAGATTAAACTCTTGCTAGTTATTTGGGTGCTTCTGATATAGTCACCTAAAAATAAGTAAAACATTAACTGGATATCCCTTACATTATGTATTATAATAGAAAAAGTTGAAAACAATCTAAATGTCAATTGGAGACTGGTCACATATATGGTGGTGTATACAGCAATCTAGACTGAGCCTTGAAGAAGATAGAGGCAACTTTAGAAGTCATTTTGGGTAATACCTAGTGTTAGCCGAAGGGCACAGATACACATAGTCAATATATTATCATTTTTTAAAAAATAACTGTGTATATTTTAACATGTTTGCTATTATCTACATAGAATAAACTTGGAAAGAATTTTAAAATGTAACAAAATGTTAACAAAATTAAAAAGATCATTAAAAACAAAGCTTTTAGAGACAACTTTCCATTTTATTTTATTAGTCTTTCATTTACTGTCAGTAATGTTTGCTTTGTTTTTTCTAGTTTAAAGGTTTTGTATGTATGTTTATTGTCAATGAGGGAGACAAAATTAACATCCCAATTCACTAGTTGTTCCTACTAAATGGTTTCATTTAATTGTATATTGCATCTAATGCTAATATAACTTATAAAAAAATTATTACTTTTCTGCTATGAGTCATCAATAGCCACATATTCCCAACTGGGTCATCCTGTATGTTGTCATGAACATTGGTATTAGATAGAATTTTTTTTATATATAATCAACTGAAGAACAATAAAAGCAAACAAAGCAAAACTAAAATTCAAAGGTGATCAGCCTTCAATCATCTTTAATAATTGTATAGAGCTTGCTTCTTGGTGCCACTGATCAGAGAATATAGCTAAACCTGTCTGAACTACTATCTCTGACAGATATCTGATTTTCAGTGGCAAAAACAGTTTTTCATTACTCACTTCTAGATTTTATTTTTACTAACACTCATTCTTTAAATTTTGTTGTTCATGTATTAGAAGTTCATACAAAACCAGATAAAAACAATATCAGACCTGTACCTGATCCAAAGTGTTTTATTATGTTTAATATTTTTCTATAAAAATCTCAGCATTTGTATGGCCTTTAAATCTTTAGGCCAGTGTAGTATTTATTATTTGTTTTCTTTCTTTGGTTTGTAATCCTAGTTTACATTCTTTTTAAGAAGTAACTTTTATGTCTTGTGCTCCTCATTACAGGAACAAATAGAATGGTTTGACTGTCCAAATACTCCCTGTGCACCAACTGTTCATCCCTGCATCCCCCCTCCACTTGCACACACTGATGCTGATCTTAGTATTGACCCCATAGACTTGTCTTCTTTAAAATGTAATATAATTGGAATTACACAGTGTGTAGCCTTTTCAGACTGACTGTAGTAAGTACATTTAAAGTTCTTCTGTATCTTTTGGAAAGTTGACAGCTCATTTATTTTTATCATCGGTAATGTACAATTATATGGATATACCACATGTATTTATTCATTTGCCTACTGAAAGACAACTTGGTTGGTTACATATTCTAGCAATCATGAATAGAGTTGCTGTAAACATTCACGTGCAGATATTTTGTGTGGATATAAGTTTTCAACTTATTTGCATGTGCAGAGGCACAATAGTCAGCTTATGTGGCAAGACTATGTCCCTAGGTAGTTGAAGTCCCCCCCTGTTCCTTGCTATTTTTTTCTTCATGGTATTTGAAACCTGTATTAGTGGTACATCCCTTCCAACCCGTCTAACTCATTTCATCCTTCACCATCACCAAATGACTTTCTTTTTATTCTCTTTTTGTTCATTTTACTGAGGAGTGCAACTCTGTAGTAAGCTTTTCAGTTTTCATAAATTATGAAGAATTATATTTGCTCTCATATTTTAGAAATCTGATAGAGATGACATTAGCATGTGAACTTATAAATTCATAATATACGTTGCCATAATTCTATTGTCTAAACTACTTTCTTAAAAACATGGAAATACATTAAAAGCCAATGATCACATTATATTAAAAATCCTTCACATAAATTGGGAGACATTTAGGAAAATAAAACATATGCAAATTTTATTTTCCACATTTTAAATGAAAACAATATTTCTGGTGTATTTCAGATGTTTTCAATATTTCATAGATGCTTTCCAAATATTTTTTAATATTTTGAAAAATGTTTTAAAGTATTTTTTATATTTTAAAATATGGCCAGTTTGGAGAAATAAAGCTACTTCATGCTGTAAATTTTACTTAACAAAATATTTTTATTTATTTCCAAATAGAAACTGAATTTAATATGTGAACTACTTTTGCAAAATAATTGACACATCTTGATGGAGCAAAGAGATACAGAAAAAATAAAATTTCTTTGTTTTTTTTTTCTGAGTAAAAATATAGGGTGAGATAAAATAAAAATATTTTCTTAGTGGTGTTCCTAATTTGTCCATGTTGAATTTATTTGGAGGAAGCTAGGATTATGTGGGGATTTCCAAAATGCATCCACTTTTATATTTCAGAGATATGATGTTTTTCTTTATGATTCTAGGAAAGATGGATCAAAAGAACCTATAGTGGAGATGAGAACAGAGGATGAAAGAATTACTAATCATGAAGATGGCAGCCCAGTAAATGAACCAAATGAAACCACACCACTAACAGAACCTGAGTATGTGTCTTGAAATACTTACTTATATTTTAATCAGAATTTGTAGAGTGGTAACCCATTACCAATATTGGGAATATGTATGTGCAATATTATTATTTGTAAAAGAATTATACCTTTTATTTTTCAAATATGGTATATATGAATATCTGAAGTTCATATATTGTGAGAAATTTCAAATAAAACTCTGCATCAATGTCAGAGAAGTTTCATTGTTATATAGCTCTAATTTTATGCAAAAATGTCAAAAGACAAGAGCACTTCTATGTTGTAGATTTGGATTTTTCCAACACTAATCTGATTTGCTAAGAATATAATGTTTTGACTTTAAAAATTAAAAAAAAAAGATTTTTACCAAAATAAAGATGTGATAAAACTTATATATTTAAATGATAGTAAAATATACCCAGTACTATTAACCAAAAGGCAGAATATTGTCATAGTTATAGGTAATGGTCTCTTTTCTTTCTTTTTTCTTTCTTTTTTTTTTTCTTTAAATCTCCTTTATCGGCTCGGCGCCTGTGGCTCAAGAGGCTAAGGCGCCAGCCACATACACCTAAGGTGACGGGTTCAAATCCCCAGCCCGGGCCCACCAAACAACAATGATGGCTGCAACCAAAAAATGGCCAGGCGTTGTGGTGGGCGCCTGTAGTCCCAGCTACTTGGGAGGCTGAGGCAGGAGACTCGCTTGAGCCCAGGAGCTGGAGGTTGCTGTGAGCGTGGTGCCATGGCACTCTACCCAGGGGGATAGCTTGAGCCTCCGTCTCAAAAAAAAAAAAAAAAAAATCTCCTTTATCTGCCTTTATGGGTTCAAAATGATTAAATTTAGGTAAATACGAAGTATTACTCTAGAGCAAAAGTTTTAATCTAAATTCTCCAACCATAATTTAGTGATTGTATTTAGACATCATTACATTCTAAATTGAAGTTATAGTTTTTGAAGGGTTCTATAATCTCACCTTCAGTAATTAGAAATCTTTTCAATGAAGTAAAATATTACACAACAAAACACATTCTTGTTTATTAATTAATACTTACAGTGTCATATTGGTGTGCATGGAAACTAGTTTTAAAAAATTTCTGTGGACTGGTCTACATTTTGGGGAATAAATGTAATTTATCTAATTTAGGTCTTAGTCATAGAAGTATTAACCATAAAATATAATAGAATTAACAGTGATCTTTAAAAATATTTAACATAAACACAAGTAATGATAAATTATATGTATAGAAATACACCATCCAAGGATTATTTGAAAACATTGGTTCATTGGAAAGAAATATGAAGAATACTCAGGGATCTAAAAGTAGACCTGCCATTTGATCCTGCAATTCCTCTACTAGGTGTATGTCCAAAAGACCAAAAATTACTTTATAACAAACATATTTGCACAAGATTGTTCATTGCAGCTCAATTCATAATAGCCAAGTCATGGAAGAAGCCCAAGTGCCCATTGACCCATGAATGGATTAATAAATTGTAGTATATGTATACCATGGAATATTATGCAGCCTTAAAAAAGATGGAGACTTTACCTCTTTTATGTTTACATGGTTGGAGCTGGAACATATCCTACTTGTGGTTGGAGCTGGAACATATCCTACTTTATGAGTAAAGTATCTCAAGAATGGAGGAAAAAATATCCAGTGTACTCAGTAATATTATGAAACCAATTTACAATCACTCACGCTTTCATATGAAGACTAGATCACAGCTATGGCCTAGGATGAAAGAGGGAAGCAGGGGATGGGAGGGGACGAAGAGGTCAGATCAAAGGAGGGTTGATGGTGAGATCACACCTATGGTGCATATTGCAAGGGTACATATCAGATCTATTAAGTATAGAGTATAAATGTCTTAACACAGTAATTAAGTAAACGAGATTAGGTATACATTAATTAACCAGTGTGATGTAAGTGTTCCTAATTCTATATGAAATCAGCACATTGTACCCCATAAATGCATTAATGTGTACGTGAAAAAAAGCCATTAATAAAGTTGTCTTTAACAATGAAAAAAAAACCTCGATGCATAATTGTATGAGTAAGAGATATATTAAGCATTATATTAATCTCCTATCATAACTAGATTTATCTACATTTTGATGCTAGGAATGACTCATTATTTTTATAACTTTTCTTGTCAATATTTTCTGTACTTAGGAATGAATGGTAGAACAATAAGTGCATTATTTATAACATGCTTGAAAGAGCCTTCTCTCATCGGTACAATAGTTCTTTATTCCCCACAATGGATCGTGTTAGTTTTTGCCTGTGGACTGATTAGTTCTGATAGCTTTGATCTTCAGAACACAACGTATTATTACCCTTCTCACTAAAAAAATATAAAGTAAATTACAAATAAATCCCAGAGAAGCTAGCATATTAACATTCATTGTCCTATAAAATAATGGGTTAAAGTTACACTGGTGAATTGGAATTCTATTTCTAATTTAATTCTCTTGCTGTAGAAAAAACCATCTAGTCAAGGGAAGAAAAATTACTTCCAAAAATTTACACTAAAAAGATGTAACAATATACTATTGAATTTGAGAATGTTAGGGGAAAAATCGGAAAGCATAATTTGTTGACATCATAGTAAGATTTCTGAAGCTATGTTAAAATTAAGCAGTAGAAGTTGGTATTGCTCCATAGGTTTCCACTGTAAACAACTTTTAAACCACGTGCTCATAAAGGATGTAAGAGTTGAAGCACAAAACAACAGTGAAAAGAGAACAGAGAAAACATACACAGTCAATATTAAAAAGTGAACATGTCTGAAAATATATTTTATTTGTATTAAGTTCCAAAGAACATTGCTAATTCACCCAATTTCTAATTTTATGTAACAGGGTCCAGCAATAATTGTTCATTTATTTAGGTACAATTAAATCATATAGCTGACATGTGTTTTGGCTTTTTATCTTCTACACACTTAATTATATTTTAATATCAGCAATTGCTTATCAAATAGAAGGCCACCCTATAGTGAATAATTTGTGCATCTAAATCTACAAAGGTATAGTTTCCCTCGTCCTTCTGCATTAGATTGCATTTTTACAATGAACAAAGTGCATTGTTTTGTTCTCTTTCTGTATATTTTATATCAAGTTGATATTAAGTTTAATTTTATGTCAAGTTTAATCAATTAATTTTTCTTTCTAATTATTGTAGTGTATTTCCTATATATAAGTGACATATATGTTAAAGGATGTCTCTTTTTAAAAAAACCTTAACAAATCAAGATTATTTTAAACTATTTTCTTCCAGAAAATTGCCTTTAAAAGAAGAAAATGGGAAAGAAGTTCTAAATCCAGAAACTATAGAAATTAAAGTTTCTAATGATATCATCCAATCAAAAGAGGATGACGGCAAGGCATAACGATAACCCTACAGTGGCTTGACAGTACTACAGAGAGCATGTGGATGGCAGTGACCCTGTGACCAAAACTATTCCATTGACCTTAATTTCTTGGGAAACTTCTAGCTTGGAATAGCTTGTACACATATACATACAATCAAATACTCCTGCCCATGGTCCATTTCCTTTTGTTGTTGTTGTTGTCGTTGTTAATTTTGTTAAAAATTTCAGTATAGAGACCTGACTGGCACCAACTCTTGGGTATTTAATTTGATTCTATGACTGATGTACTGCAATTTATTATAAGGGTAAAGTGCTCTATTTCTTAAGAACTGTATTTCTTAACACCAATACATATATTTCAGCTTCTCTAATAAATAGGAGTTTAAGAAAACAAAACAAAACAAAAGTTTTATGAGCTACATGTATAAGAAAGCTTTGCATGTGTATGAACCTATCTTGAGCAAATAGATTTCTAAAGTGGCTGTTAGCTTAAGATGAAGGAACTTAACAAAGATACTTCTATCAGGGGAATTTCAGGGAATATGGGCTTGAAGGAGCTAGTTGTCTTAAGTGGATATAAAAAAAATGGAGAAAAAATTTGGAGAACTCTTTTCAAGTTATAATTCAATGAATTTTTAACACTGAGTTTTGATAGAGCAAGTGCCAGATCAAAATTGCTACCCGTTTTAAAGAATATACATTGTGTGTAAAATTAGATTAGAGAAATTCCCTAAATCTCTCTCTCTCTTTATATATATTATATTCATTCCTAATGGATTACACAAAAAATAAATGTATTGCAAGTGAAAATAATATTGATTTCTGCCCGCAGCTTCAAATAAAATAAATTGAAATGGGAACAATTATCAATATGGTGTCTTGATATATTTATAAATATGTGATTATCATTTATTTTTAGAATAATTTGTAAAAAATAAACCATTAGTATTCAAATACTGCAAATTACATCTTCAGACACATTTTTTAGCCCACAGTAGGTAATCTTTGTTTACAAACTAATTTTCTCATCATTTGATATCCATCATTACATATAATTGGCTAATGGAAATTATAAACTTAAAATTCTTTAAGTTAAGAAGAAATTATTTAATGTTTACATGTGCCATAAAAGTGTCAGTGATAAGGAGTTGAATCTCCTCTCTGTGTTTTTTATTCTGATGTTTTAGCTAAAAGTTATTTGAAGACTTTGATAAACAACTTTGGCAGAAGAAATCCCTTAGGTATTCAAAACAAACTTTCTCATATCATTTGTTAGGGCCTATACCAGAAAAAAAAAAAAATACTTATTTACTTCCAAGCTATGCAAGCTCCCAGAGGTAAAAGACTGAAACATGCTTTAACTTATATGTAAAGTTTTGAAAAGTACCTATGGTTATAAATATTCCTACCCATTGGGAGCAGGCTTTAGATTATGTCTTAAGGTAGAGAGCCAAAGGTTGCATTAGGCTTCATCATCCTCAGAGCCTTTGGTGTTTCCAGTGATTGTACCTCAGATTATGGCTGGTTGGAAAATGCATTTCAATAGAACATTAGAGAAAATTTTAACAGTGAAGAGAGACCTGGTTTGGAAGTTTCTCCAAAGAGATTATTTAATAACTATTAAATGTAATATCGATGCCACTCATGAATATTTTTTATTTACAAAGTGCTTGAAATTGTCAGCCAAGGAGAGAGAATTTTATAGCAGTTGTCATTTTTCGGGCTGACCGCAGGACAAAATATAACCTTCATGTTAAGGCACCAAGTCGCCAGAGTGTCTCTGCCATAAATTGCAGGGTTATGATGCAGGAATCTCTTGCTATCTGTCTGGCAGATTCTAAAGAAAAGAACAGAATTTTTGTTCCTACCTAGGAATTTGAGTAGTGTCTAAAACCAGTTCATTTTAACTATCCAACTGGTCTTTGATGGTTTTGACTGTTGCTATTTTAGTTTATGTTTGTCTCATCATCTACTTTGCTTTACTGTACTGTGTTTTAGTTTGCTTTGTTTTGTACCAATGTACTAAAACTTGTCAAAATACTTGAATTAGTTTGTTTGTGCAAAGTGAACAAGCTTAGTAAAGTGTCCATGAAGCAAGAAACATGAGTGCTAATTTTTCCTGGAAAGGGTCACACAGTTTTCAACTAATGATGGTGAAAGAATTAGGATGACTGAGAATATGATCCCGCATGTTTACCATTGTTATATTTGTGCTTTATTTCAAGAGTGGAGAAATCATAATAAAGAACAAAATATTTTTGTGTTTTCTCAATTTGAAATTTTGTTCCTCTCATTTATTTGGATTTTTCATGTTAAAAATTTGACTTAAATACTTCCTGCCACTCGTGGAGTAATGAAATTAACAGGTAATCTAAAGGGAATTGTAAACAGACTGTTTCAAGTGCACTGTTTTGATTGTCCAAATGATCCTTACCTCTTGTCCTTGAAATCCATGCCATGCGAGAGCAAGGCAATACTGTGATAAAATTTTCTTTCTAATATTTCAATGGAATGCTCCAAATTATTTGTAAAAAGGTTAAGAGATGGATTATAGAAAATCAAAAATTATGAGTAGAATTGAATAAACTATTGCATTCTTACTGTAGATTAAACATACACATATGACTATCTAAATGTTATTTTGATTGTTTAAGAATACTCTTTAGGATTAGTATATGATGTCAAAGGTGGATTAAATATAAGTACTGGTAAAATAATCCAAATCTTATACTATTTTAAACTATGAGACAGAGATGTCATTGAAATACTGATATTTCTTGATAAATTATGTGCAATTAGCCAATGACAATCTGTGTTCAACATATAACAGGAAAAGTATATCAAAATTTTAATATCTATTTTGCTTTCAACATGCACAGATTAATAAGTCACCATATTTTACAATGATTTGCAAGTAAATTTAATTAATAATTGTGATTTCTAAAGATTTATTATTTTTGTGGGGTAAGACATATTGGCATTCTATTGATACTAATGTCTAACATCAATGTAATGATTCTCAAGTTTTCCTTCTCTTAATATTCATACCTATAAAAGAATTTTTGAAAGGCTATTTGGTCCAGCAAACTTCATATGACTCTTAGTCCTTGAATTAAATATTTATAAAAATAGATTTTATGAATCAAATTATTTATTTGTGTGCCAAGAATTACTTGTAACTTTATTATCATACCTCTATTTTATTTCTTCTTTAGATAATTAAGATGCATTTGTGCCTTTGAATTAGCATGACATTCTTCTTTATTAAAAAATAAAACTACAATTACTATCACCACTGTTATATTTTTGCTCATATCTGTGACACTTAGATGAAATTGTCTTATTCACATTCAGTGAACAAGCTCCATTGTCCATACACAAAATGTTCTTACTGTGCTCTGTATTGTTTATCTAGACAATACATACATTATAGATAGAATTAAAATTGAATTTTACCAGTTATAGGATAAAGACATCATATAACTTTTATAAATAGAGCAAATTACTATGGTGTCTCTTGGACCTTTATTATCCCTATGATATATATGAATATTTGATTTCGAATCATAAATCATCCTTTACTATTGATGATAATCACTGTTGAACTTATCTACGATTGAAGTGGTAGAAATAATATTTTCAACTTCTGAAAAATATTAAAATAGCATATATATATTTTTTTCAGTTTTGGCCTGGGCTGGGTTTAAACCCACCACCTCCGGCATCTGGGACCAGCACCCTACTCCTTTGAGCCACAGGCGCTGCCCTTAGAATAGCATATTAAGATTATTTATTAAATTTATAATATTTTTTTCATGGATAATAATGTAAACATTCAACTTAAATCCCTCATGGAGTCCTTTGTTATAATCATACCCAGAAATCTTGTTCAACAAACTTTATGAGTAGGTAAAATATTTTTCAATGAGATTGTTAGCCACTATTTATCATTAGAGAGAAAATAGATGCATCTGTTTATTAACCTTCAAGGCATTATTTTATAAGATTCTCCCATTGAAATTACAAAAGGGTGGATTTGATAATGAGAAATTAAATGGCCAATGGTTGCAAAAATGAAATACTTCAATCCTACAGTGGATATTTTTCAGAAAAAGTAGTCCCCTCATAGGCTTACTAAGGTTCTGAAATAAAACAAGTGAGAAATTATAGAAGCACTTAGGCCTATAGTTGTCTCTGAGTAAACATAATTTTCTTCTAGACCCCACCCTTCTTTAAAAATTACATTTACTCATGAAATACAGCCATCTATCGTTATGAAAGAACGCTAATAGATTAACTCTTTCCCCTCCTAAAATAAAATATTTTACATTATATATACTAGTAACTATTTATTTGATACAACTTAATATTCTTAGAAAAATAGTTTATTGCTCATTTTAGGATTTTGCCAATAACATACATAAATATAGTAGCTGGTATTGCATCTTTAAATTTTTTATATAATTTTTAGAATTCTGACCACACAATGTTCATTATTGTTGCCCATGTAAAACTTAAATATTGCTACTTGTTATTTTTTTTTTTCCTGAAATGAAAACACACGTCTTCTGGTACCTGCCTTTAGGCATCCATGGAGGAGAGCAAACAAAGCAGTGACCGTGGAAGACTCCAAATCACAAGTAGACCCAGGAAAATAGAGAAACAAAGACTTGAAAGGACATAGAAAGGGAAAGTGAACTCCTACTTATGGAATAGGTAAGAAGGACTTGAGAAGTACTAGACCAGGGACTAGGAACATTGCTTAGGTGAAAATTAAGGTCATTTTGATGATGCAAAGGAGAGAATCTAGGGAGTGAAATCCAGCAGAGAAAGTTAACAGAGATAGAACCTATGATTCAATTTTGCAAAATGGATTATTTTTCAGAGAACAACTTGCATACTCTAAAATAAATGGTACTGTTAAGAGCAAACCTGGTTGTTTGGACTCTTAAAGAATTATTTATGGTTCAGCATTTGCCTCTAAACCCTGTTAGAAATGTATGAACTTAGAAACAATGGTTTTAAGAAAACCTTTTTTTTTTTTTTTTTTGGTATGTGAATTGTATGCTGTGCTCAGTATGCATTAAAACACACTAGATTTTATTTTCTTTACCTTATATCTCCATTTAAAATCTATATTCTTCAGTTGGCTACCCCAAAGTTTCTTATTGTTTCAATATAGTATGTCCCTATGAAATGCTGTATATATATGTCTAAACTGTAAAAATTATACTGCAAATGTTGAAGTTTTGTATTTATGAGAGACATTGAAAGTATGGCTTATAGTATATCCAACTTGTCACACTTCACCATTTGTATATTAATAGTAAAGATACTTTTACTTTAATAAAGTGTTGCATTTTATGTTTATTTTGAATAATATCTGTGGTGAGCAACCTTATGACTTCACAAATATGTGTAGTTTTTTAAAACACTCACGATCATATCTCTAGCTATTCTCAAGAAGAAAATGCAATCCACCATCTAGCTTCACAGCGAGTCACAATCTTTCAGCTTTGACACTGAGTTGATATCACAGACTTTCATGAATAAATAGTTGGGTTAGAGCAGTGGTTCTCAAAATGTGACCCCAAGGCCAGCATTATTTAGGAACTTGTTAGAAATGTAAATGTCTGGATCTCACCAGAGACCTGGCTAAATTGGAAGACTTGGCGGGGGTGGGTGGGTGGGGAGATCCATTGAATTAAAGATATATATATATATCTCTGGTGTCACAGCTCATAGCAACCCCAAATTCTTGGGCTTAAGGAATTGATTCCCTTGCCTCAGCCTCCCAAGTAGTACCGGCACCTGCACAACACCCAGCTAATTTTTTTGTTGTTGTTGCAGTTGTTGTTTTAGTT